TCCTCGCTCTCTATCCTCTCATATATATATTATCTCTCTCTCCCTTCTCAGGTATCGAATGGCCGGATATTCCGGACGAGATGAGCTATGAAGCATACGATCTAATTAACCAATTGCTCAACCGTACCCCAACTGCCCGTCCGAGTTTAGGGCAAATGAAGCAACACCCCTTCTTCCATGACATACAGTGGGATAAGTTGCTGCTTTCTCCCGGCCCGTTTATACCCAGCCCCGGGGACGGTGAAGATACGAAGTACTTCTGTGGTATGTACAAGTGTATGGGTATTGTTAGTGAATAAATACAAACTACTTCTGTGGTATGTATGTGTATATGTAACCGAAGTGTAAAGACAAGAAGTACATCTGTGGTACATAAATATATATATATATAGATCATAGTAAAGGTTGCTTATTACCGATATGCTGCATTCTATTTATAGTTCGTGAAGGTGAGGCGTCTGGCGCGGGGGATCAACCCACGCGGTACTCTATGGTAGACAACGCCCCAAGCACACCTCAAGAAGACACCGATGTGAACGACGATAAGATGGAAGTCGACGACATCGCAGAAGTGGCTAACATTGATGCCGGCATTTTCAACTCGTTTGATGAGAAGGTGTGTTCGTGTGTGTGTGTGTGTGTGTGTGTGGCACACCTCTACTATTATGTACACGTGTGTGATATCAGCGCTATCAATGTATGTTTGTATTCGTGCTCATGTGTCTTTTAAGACTACTATAACTGTATATACATATATATATATTTAAACCACTCCAACCACCCGTACCATTTAGGTTGCCCATAACCTACAAGGCATGAACGGGCAAATGGTGAAACACATACGGCAACGTCGTGCACAGTCCTTGGCTTCGGTCAAGAACCGCAACATCAAGGAAGACGACGCCAACCCATCCCACATCACTTCGGTCAAGAGAACTGTATCCTCCCAGGTAAGCCGACGTAGCGTGAGTCTAGGTTTGATTAGTTGTGAATATATGAATACGTTTGCGTATATATCGACAGGTATTGGTATGTCGAGCGGCTGCGCGTGTAGGTAACATGTACACTAAAATGTCACATGCACTGAGAAACAGAAGAAAGCCTTCCGTCACTTGCCCTGCTCACCCGCTGTTAGTTTTTGTGTGGGTGTATCGAAACGTCGCTGTGCATGAAAGTGTGTTTGTTCAGTTTTTGGACTCATTCACTCACATTGATGTGATGTATACGCCAATCTTAAACCACTAGTCAATGCTTTCTCGAAATATATCGGTTTCTGCCAACCTTTCAGCCGATTTTGCCTACCGTCCCTTGGACTCATTCATTCACATTCATGTGAGATATACGCCAATCTTAAACCCCTAGTCAATGTTTACTCGAAATATATCGGTTTCTGCGAACTTTTCAGCCGATTTTGGCTACCGTCCCTTGACTCTGCATTCACGATCCACTGTTCCTACTACATCTCTATTCAGCATCCGGGAATGAAGATGCCGGTTCTACCAGATTACGGGTTATAGTGTGTGCAATGGTCTGTAGGTTTGCAGACTATCAGGCACTCACCGGCTGTACCCCGTATCTCAGCGTACGCGCCTATAGTTCATAGCACGCGGTGTGTTCATGCAAAACACACTATACAGAGAAGGCTCACAACCCGTGCGACAGAGACGTATGATCTGTGGCCAGGCCACGTGTGCGTGTGTGACTATAACTTGTCCACGGTAATAGCTAGCATATGCAGTATACGCCCTACAATGTAAGGTAGCTGGGGAGATCTTTAATACTTCGGTGAATGTCGGCCCCCGGCTTCGAAGTACATCACATCCGCATCTGTAAACCTGGCTGCAAATACGCTCGCTCTGAAAGCCGAGCGTACGCTTCACGTACCGCCAGGATGTTTGCAATCGATTATTCAGCACAGGCTCAGACCTACTGAACCCATTACCATGTACGGTCGAATCCGTGCTGGTTACGGAATCGTACCTGTTAGGGTGTACATGTCAGAATATATTTATGCAATTCAGAGTGGCGGCTAGGGTCGCTGTGCAGAGTCAAAGAATTGTTGACTACAGGATAAAAAATTAGGAAGTGAATAAGCGAAATCATTGCTTTGAATCAACGTATATCCATGTTCGAATATATCGTTGGCTACCTGTGCCAAGACAGCGCATTTTGTATCATGGGGGTCTGTTTGAGTTGGTTAATATGACTTTTAGGTGTTATCATATTCCTGAATCTGTTATATTTAAGTCAGTATCACCTGCATATCAATGCGATGCCGACTTGTCCGTACACATCTATTTTGAAGTGCTCCTTTTTAAATTCTATACAGTTTGAATGCGAAATCGTATGTAGATTGAACACATTTGAATAATTATGGGTCATGTCTTTTTAATACTTATGGGTCTTATTCTTTTTAATAGTTACGGGTCTTAAACAGTGTGCTGTGTATAGCTTATTAATATAATTGAAGTGTATGCATATCTAATATGATCCAGCTTCTAAGCGTATGAGGGCTGCACGTTCAGCATCAATCACTATCTTCTCTGGTGATTTATTATACATTGTGAGCACACCAGATGAATCAAGTAGTTCAAAAATATCCCTTAGACTTTGTGATAAAACGATTTCTAATTTTGCCAAATCAAGGTGTCTGTCACCTGCGGAATTTAACTCCGCATGTATCTGCCGAAACTTTGTGAGATGTTTGCTGGCTAAGTTCACCGGTGTACTCGCCCCTACCACGACGTACGTTTTCAGCAACTCATTGACTCGATCCTCTAAGCTACAGTCCGATGGCTTATTATCATTTTGGAGATTGACAACTGTTGTTAGTATTGAATACCCGCCGTGTAAAAATTTGATATTCTCGTCGCAGAATCGCTTTTGTGCACAGGATAATATTATAGGATACAGCAAGGGGTCGTCCAGTGCATCCTTAATATTGTCGCTGAAGGTCTCCAAAACATTGCATTCGACAAACTCGTACTGCCACTCCATGTAAGATCGAAACAAGTCCCATAGCGGAGGCCCCAAAATCTCGATCCCCAAACCCCATAAAAATAAAATGGCTGCATTGAATTGATCCATATTGCGCGCCAAAGGGTTGAGAACTGGAAGCACGGACCCAAGGGTGAACATAATCCCTCCGTATATGCATAGGTAGCGCAAACACCTGAAGTCCTCCACCGCATATCTTGTATTTCGCAGGCAGGCAAGGTAGTAGACTACCTCCAGTATTATACATACAAGTGCAAGACGCAATCCTGTACTCTGAATCCAAATATATTTGGGCGGTAATAGATGTGCCAGGTACGCAAGGTGGAAGAAGCCGTTTTGGATTACTATCCTCAGCAACACCCATTTATATTGCACATCATACCGGCCACGGACGTAGACGGAATACATGACACAAAGTCTTGCGACCAAAGCGTACAGCAACCATCCTATAGCCGTCGCTTCACAGAATGAGGCGAAAACTTGTGTCACCTTACTCTCACCCAGTTCTATGTAGTAAATGCAATACAATTGGCGTCCCAAAGTAACCACCGGTACCAGTATTCCGAGGCTACATATATGAAATAGGAACTGCGGAAGCAGCTTCCGAAACCGAGGCTCTTTGTAATGACGAAAAACAACTACCGACACTATCCCGGCGATCAGAATAGTGAAGCCGGCAAAAGTCACCGAGTAAGCAAATAAGAATATTCTGCATGGTTCAGCAGCCTCTGTAAACTGAACCCAAACGTCTTCCTGTTCATCTACAGAGCCAATCAAGTGTACGAAATGGTAATGTGCGCCCACTGCCCATGCGACGGATATACACCACGCCAAGACCCTAACTATTTGGAAATTTTGTTGTGGCCGTGGACTTTTGAGCATTAATTTTGATTGAAAGACTTTCAGGTCCACAGAACCTGCTCGATTGATAAACGCACTCTCGCCCGTGACGACACAAGAATTTAAACCGCCGCCATCCAGGCTGTTTGGCATTCTGCTTGACGATTCTTCTGACTGACTAACAACCAATATGTCTCCAACTGAATGGATCATTGAAGGGAATGGCTTCTTCTGATTTGTACGGTCTAACATCATGTTCTATGCGGAATTAAGACTAAATTGTATGTGTACACCTATTATACCAGAAAGTTAGGGCGAAAACTAATGTTGAAATATCTTCGATAGCCAATGCACTGTAAACATTATGTATCGAGAGGTGTGTACGTGTGGTTTTCCACGATTCTGGTATTACATAATATATATATAAATAAATATATATATTTCATAGCCTTCTAGAAGTTCCACTCTCTAGAGAGAATACAGATATTTTTGTATATTTATTTATGACTTTATAAATAATAATAGAACCTCCACCCTGTATACTCTCCTCCTCTCTGTGACTGTGTGAGCACAGCACTCGGCACTGCAGCGTAAATTCGTAAACTCGTGAACGATGCGTAAATATTTATTTAAAAAAAAATCATTGTAAGGCTGACCAGTGAGGCTGTGACCACAATCCACTCTCCACAGTCCACACTCCAGTGCCCCCAGGGCCTCCTCGCCAGTGATATTTAAAATTTGGAATATTTACAAAATTTCTTGAACCTGGTTGAAAGCTGCGTAAAACTATTGGTCAACAGGTTTTTGAATATACAACCGGTACGAAACTTTTTCCAAATCCTACTTTAAAAATAAAATCATAGCAAATGGGCCCCTTTGCTCCATTTTACTCCGGTATTTGAATAATAAGGATATCAAATGGTTCCTGTAAATTATCATTAAATTTCAGCAACTCTAGGTCACCGCAGTTTATTTACAAACTCAATTTAACAGCATTTTTTAGAATGTTTTGACAAAATTTAGGACCTTATTTTTAAAATCAGTAATAGGCTATGTATTTCTTAACCCAATTTTGTTTGGATCTACTTATATGGCTCAATTAATAGCTGTTATGTTTTGACAGTAGAAAATTTGTCCAACTATAAACAACTCTACAAATATTTTGGTGAAATACAGTTGGCGAATTATGCCAAATATAAAGGTGGGCACAAACCAAGACCCCTATAACGTATGAAAACGTAGTACGTTTTACGCTAACGCATCAATTCGAAAGCGTGTGTACGTATTACGAATAGAAGTCTGCCGAGGAACCACATCCAACAGATACTACTGGGCTAAAACACTTTTTAATGGTCATTCAACGAGGGCCTCAGAAAAAAAACACCGCTTGCGTCAGTGGGGAACTAAAAAGGCGAGGAAAATGAAATATTTATATATTTAGGGGGGTTATTTGTTCAATTTAGGAGGCTATAATTAAATTTTTTGAAAACATTCAAAAAATGACGAGTGGAGACTGGAACCCTAAAAAACCCTTCTGGAAACTGATGAGGAGTACCCTGGCGGTCGCCCCTGTAAGGCTGTACATAACTTGTAGGGCCCTGGCCCCTGGACCTCGGGTCCTCGGCATTCGGAGAATAATGATAAAGTGTCCTACGGACTATAGTGACAGGCCGTACTCCGTTGTGGTAGATTTTGTAATCTCTCTCTCTGAGAGAGAGAGAGAGAGAGTCATGATTATTTTTTTATAGAAAGTAAAAACAATATTTATAGTTTATATTATTTTTAAACAAAAATTATTTATAGAGGGCTAAATATAAATAAATTGTCTAGGAGTATCCTTGTACATAAAATAAAATTTTTAAATAAAAAGTATGTCTGTATTTATAGTGGGTGTCTCTTTTTTTTTTTTGTAAATAGCGGGATTAGAAATTTCTGATTCTGATTCGGATAATCTGATTCCGTCCAGTAATGTTTCAATTTATTATGTCGAATGAGCTACTGAAGGCGGGTACCTTCCCCGCAGCCCTGAACTGCAGCCTCCTGACAGCGCACCCAAAGAAAGCCGATGCAGATATCACCTCCCCCGCCGACTTCCGCCCCATCACGCTTACGCAAATAGTCAGACGCATCTTTGAAAAGTGCTTTCTTAATCTGATTACGAGCCACCCCGGCTCTGAAAAACTATGTTAATCACGGTACTCCTGTCATACCCAAGCACTTTCCGCCATGGAATCTAAGAAACAGTCAGGAGAGGAGTGGAACGACGTCTGTCTGGACATAACCAAGGCATACGACAAGGTCGCTCTCCCACGCCTATGGGTAGTTATGCGTCACGCTGGAATGCCCGAAAACTGGATCAACTGCCTCCGCGTGTTGTTTGGGAGGGTCCCTACCCGAGTGACATACCGCGGCACGCTCTCGTCTTTATTCCATAAAACGAATGGTATCCTACAAGGCTCAATCGTCGGAATCGGCTAGCACAATTTCGGCCCAAGCTCCTCCGTTCTTATTTATTTGTCGATGACACACGGATCTAAGCCCCTCGATCGGTTTCGCTCCAGTCCTTTTTAGATGACATTGATGCGTGGGGACGCAAATCTGGCCTCGAACAGGGTGTCATTAAACCCCGAGTACGATCTACCGGCTTGCGACACGCGGCGCCAACCCTCCGTATAAATGGTTAGCTTATCACGCCGATGCTTGCAGACGCACCTTCGAACACACGTTACCTCCCCCTGAAACTGGCGCCCACACATGCCGAACCGAAACACTCCAAATACCTGGGGTTCCCACTCTCTCACGGAGTACCAGGAATCAACCTCGCTAGACATATGGAATGCCTGGCTGCAGTGTTGTCACTGGGTATCGCCTCTTTTCGCGCTTATGGCTTCCATGGCTTCAGCTGGCGACACCTCCGCAACCGACTGGTGATGTTCAAAACATCTATCCTATCCACGGCTACATATGGGCTGAACATTATTGCCTGGGCTCCGCCTATATGGAAGGATGCGTTGGACCCCCTATTCGAGCGCTTTAACTCAGCACTCATCCAAGCAGCAGCCATCATCACGGGCACTAAATACCCTTGGTTTTCCAAACATCAAACAAACTTACTTCACTTTTGCGGCCTGCTCCCCGCGCGATCATTCGCGGACTACCTCGGAGGTTGCCTGGGAATACAACTTGACTCAATGGCCAGCACAAATCCACTTACCCCTCTGACACAACCCGCCTGGGCTCACGATAAACCATCACTGCGCTTCCCGTACAGTATCTATGCACACCTGAGAATTGTACACAAAACCACGGGCGGGCGTACACCCGACCATGTAGCCCTCCGCCAACGCTGTGACGACATCAGAAAGAACTCAACAAAACGTTGGTCCAACAAGGAGATTGCGGCAATGGCCCGGCGCCAATACTACTACCAACTGGTTATGGGTTAACCGCCAATTTCAAACCGAGACACAGCCAGATATGACAGCTTCAATCGATGCTTCGAGTCTACAACAATCCGGCTCTGTGCTATGATTGTAATGAATATGTACATGTTCACATTGCTCGACTACCGCACCGACGGCTGTCTCTGCCCTGTCTGCCCCGGTAGCCACAAGTTCACTACCAGCCACTTTACCTGCATCCAACAACTGATTCGACGCATCCTGGTAGGCCCGAAACAGCCGCCCATTGGCCCTGACCTCCTTCAGCAATTACAGAAGTGCCACGACTTCCACGGTATCTGGACCCTCCAGGAACACCTTGGATCTTTTCTCCAGCATGTTGGAGAACCACCGTACCCTCACCCGTCCCTGACACCTCAACAGATGCTCCCCATACTCCGGCTAATCACGCTGTTGAAGTACTACTTCCAAATATCGGTTCAAACCAAATCATCGCGTTTGTTGGTTTCGACTATGATACTTCCGATCCTGGCCAGCCAACACATACCGAATCCATCCGTGGTCTGGTGCGGCATTGGCTTACCTTCATCCTCGCTTCCCGACCGGATTATGACGGATAACCTGGTCCTTCTCGGTATTTCGTACTCTGCACTAGCCCATTCCGCGGCACTACACGGCGCAGACCCGATCTGTAGCACAGAGGTGGGTACTTTACTTAGTAGGTCAGCAAGCGAATATATGAACATTCGATAGTTACATTGTTTTGTCAACACCGGTCCGAATTAACTCAGCACATATCTTATATATATATGTATATATATATATATATATATATATATATATATATATTTATATATATAT